TTACAGAAATATAATGGAGAAAAATTATGGCAATCTGAGAAAATGAAGAATGGAGTCCAGTGTTTTGGGGTTTCTGTAGGGTTTTAGCCTTTTAGGGGATTGATTCGCCTCCAAACGACGTTATTCAATTTTTTTGGTTTTTTTTAAAGTTCTATTAAAAAAAAAAAAACACTATTTTGCGAAGAAAAAAAAAATAATAAAAAAAAAAAAAACCTTTATAAGAATCTAATATATAATTTAACAGTCACTTTTCACCAAAATCCTCCAAATCCCCAATCTTAATCTCTCATTCACTCCCGCCTTTTGCGGGTGGTGGGCGGGCGGGGATGGGGCGGGTACAACTTAAAATCCACCCCCGCCCCATCACCCATGGCGGGTATGATTTTTATCCCCATCCCCGCCCCACCACCCGCAAAACCGAGACCCATCCCTGCCCCATTGGGGCGGGGATGGGGCGGGTAGGAGACCCGCCCCACTGACATCCCTAGGCAGTTAACTGCACACACACTACAACAGAGTAATAGAGTATGGATTATATACTACACACTTTGCAACACTCATTTCACTCACACACACAAAAAAAAAACACAAATCTGATTGTTTGGGGTTTCAATCAGGTAACCAACATTTTGCTCACACAATTCCGGCGAAGTCATACATCTACGCCGTCGTCTTCGATGTTGCCTTCTTCTTCTTCGTGGATTCACTTGAGATAGGTGCTTTTTGGTGTTACTAATTCATCTTCTTCTTCCCTAATTTCAAGGTAAAAACAAATTTTGTGTTAATTATTTGATTGGATTTATTAGTGGGAATGCATTTTAGACATTTCTGTTAATACGTTGTTGTCCTTTCTTTTTCTTTTACTCCGATTTTGCTTACACATGGATGCCACTTTACTTTCTTTAACCTACGCCGTTTTCACAACCTACTTTATTTATTTTGATGAATTTTGTGTTTGGAGTATTGATTTTTGATGATAATTTCGTAGCTCTAATAGTAACAATACAGGTTGATTTTTCCTCTTAAAACATAATTTCAATTGTGTAATTGATTATTGAATATGTGGGTTTTTTTGGGATGTGGTTGAATTTGAGTTTCTGCAAATTTGATTGCCAGTTTTTTTTAGTATGATTTGATATTTGAAATGGGCATTTTTCAATTTGAAAAGAGATAAATTCTTAAAAATAGATATGGGTTGTTTTAGCAAATTAAACGAGAGTCTTTTAGGAACAAAATTGGAGCTTAATTATAGAGAAAGTTGGGGAATTTGGGAGGTAAAACAATGGAGAAGCAATCGCGTATGATCTGAGACGGGTTAAACTTTCGACATGTTGGTGAGAAACCTGAGAGTTCCGACAAACCTATGGAGAAAAATGGGATTTTTCAACACGGTATAATGAGAAACAGGAGTTTCGTGGGTTTTGGAGAAACAGAAGAGTTTTCATGGAGATGGACACGCAATCTACCTTCAATACTGTAATTTGTTTGCTAGATAAATACTGTAATTTGGAAAGTGAATAAATTAATGTGCCATCATAATAAACTCATGTTTGTTAAGAAGAGCAAAACCTTTTTAATGTTATGTGAACTCAATGGGGTTGGATTCCCACTCAAGTCGTTGGATCCAAATTACTCCATCCATAACATTTTTTTTTTTTTTTTTTTATTGTACTTGGTATGTAATACTTCGTATATGTATAACTAATGGTGGTAGTAAAAATCAAACGATGTATATAAAAACTGATAAGATGTGTACTATAGGATTATGATAAATATAATTACGCATGTAGTGCTACTATCATGATATCGCGGCATATGCCCTGCTCGAGTGTTTGGACAGTGACTTTTGTGTCAATATCTTAATATGGACTCAAATTGGTTATAATTTGTTATGTATCAATATTAAATTCTTCATATGTAAATGTAAACGGATTGAAAGATGTTGATCAAGATAAAAACATTGATTAAAAAAAGTGAAGATTTCAAGGTTTTTGATAGTTTTCATTATCGGTTATGGATGATTAGAACACAAGCACATCATAAAGAAACTCAATTAGAACACAATCATAGAATTTTATCCCTGTTACTAATCTTATAATACATTTATTAAAAAAAAATGAATTTTCTCTTTAAAAACAAAAAGGTTCTTCATTTTTTTTTCTTTCTGTTGCCACCTAATTTTTTTTTTTTTGTAAAATAAAAAACAATACTGAATAAATATTGCATATTATTTCTTCCAAACACCTATTTTTTTTTTTGTAAAAAAAAAATACAGAATAATTATTGCATATTATTTCATCCAAAAAATCCAATTTTCTCTTTGATAATCAATAGTTTATACAGTGCACTCAATTTTGACGTAAATTGCAATTGATATCTTTTTCAAAAAAAAAAAAAAATAGTCATTTCCTCTATTTTGTCACCTAAATTTTTTTGGTAAAAAAAAAAAACACACACACACACAGAATATATATTGCAATTTTTTTTTCTTCCAAAAAAAATATCATTTCCTCTTTTATGCCACCTTAATTTTTTATCATTTTTTTTATAAATACAAAATAACTTATATGAACAACCTTTTTTATACAAGTCTATAATAACATTTATCATTAATTGAGGATTAGCAATAACAATGTTGATCCCTTGACCACGATTCTACTACTATTCACTATTTCATACCTGTAAGGTAGAATTCAATAATAGGTTTGACCATTTTTTAAATGAAATGGAATTGAAGTTAATTAGAGTTAGACATGATTCATTATTAATATTTTTTTTTAATGTAAGTAGAAATGGAGTTGGTATTGGAGATTGTTCATTAATTTAATTTATTGTTCCATTTTTTTTTACAGTATATAAAACACTCCGTTGACTGCGTTTCACCTTTAGCTTAAATTTCTACACCCTACAGGTATGAACAATTTATTTTACTTTAATTTTGTTAATATGAATGAGCATGTATATTTAGGTAAATTTAGGATTTTATCTACTCATAGAGGGACATGCTATTAATTTGCCACTACACTACATTACATACATATAATACCTCTATTAGGATTATAACATTGTAAATTGTTACAACTTACCTCTATTAATTGATGTTGTTCAAACTATAATATCGATTCTTATATATTTATCTCTTGATTATTGTATATATAATAGATAAGAATGGACATACATACAAGTAATTATCGATTTAGAGAGAATTTGCAACACAAACATGCTAGATTAGCTGTTAGGCGAAGGTTACTATTCAAACGCACTACAAACCATGAAGATCCTATTTTTAAGCAACGTCGTTACTTATTGGAGAAAGAAGCACGATCCTTGCGACTATTAATGATGCAATTACGTCAATCAACACATCAATATCACGATGTGACACGTGAAGTGGAGCAATTTCCTAATGAGATCAATATGAATGGTACTTAATTATAAGAACCATTAATATTTACTTTATAATACTAATACTTTACATAAAGTATTCTATTAAATTATTAAAACCTTTCATTCCAGAAAGCTCACCTAATGATTGGATGTTATTACGTCGATCAACACATCAATATCACGATGTGACACGTGAAGTGGAGCAATTTCCTAATGAGATCAATATAAATGGTACTTATACGAACCATTAATATTTACTTTATAATACTAATACCTTGCATTAAGGATTCTATTAAATTATTAAAAACTTTCATTCCAGAAAGCTCACCTAATGAGGGGATAGACAATGATGCTAGACCTGATGAGCATATTGTCGAAAGGAGAGGTAACCACTTTGCCAAGCTACTTAACCACACACCTAATTGATGTCGACATTGTTAATTGACATTCACTAAAATAAATCCTTTGCATGCAGAAGTGACTCATCAATGTCGTCGTAGAGATCAGTTTGATAGACGTTGGGATTTTGGACCTAGAACGGTTGTGTGTCCTAATTGCAAGGCCCTTATGTGGATTGAAGAAAGGGTAAAGAGTAGCAATAAAACACACCCAAGGTTCAATCACTGTTGTCAAAGTGGGCAAGTTATATTGCCGCTTTTACCTTTGACACCGCCATTTTTAATGTCACTTTTGCCAAATCATCAATTTCGAAACAATATTAGAGCTTTCAACTCTATGTTAGCTTTCACCTCTATGGGCGGTCAGATTGATAACACTGTTAATGATGGTAGAGGCCCCTATGTCTATCGTATAAGTGGTAGTAGTTACCATCGAATCGGAACTTTACTCCCTGAGCCGGGAACAGGTCCAAAGTTTGCACATTTGTACATCTATGATACTGACAATGAAACATCCAACCGACTACATCACATGGGGGGCGCGGAAGCTTCTTCCATAGATCCAGGAATTTTACAAGGACTAAAAATGATGCTTGATGATATAAATCCTTATGTCACAGTATTCAGAAATGCTGGCAATATGTTGCGCAATCAAGGTGAGCATCAAGATTTGAGAATTAAGCTTATTTGCGCAAGAGAAGGCAGACAATATATCCAACCAACCGCAAGTGAAGTGGCTGCATTGATGGTAGGTGATGGAACTGAAGACATAGGTAATCGAGATATCATATTGCAAAAAATAGATGGTGGGTTACAAAGGATTGATGAAACTCATCCAAGTTATATGCCTTTACAATACCCACTACTGTTTCCATATGGTACCGATGGATGGAGAGTTGGGATACCTAAGGCGTCAAGTACAAGTACCAGTCGAAGTACTGTGACAATGCGACAATTCTACGCATTTAGGATACATGATAGGGAAGAAGAGGGTGACACCTTGATAGATTCCGGGCGCTTATTGCAACAATTTGATGTTGATGCATACGCTGCAATGGAACAATATCGATTATCATGGATAAGGAGAAATCAAGGCAGGCTTCGCTCTGATTTATACAGCGGACTCCAAGATGCAATCAGGCTGAAGATGTCAATGCTACTGATGTAGGTCGATTATTCATATTACCATCATCCTTCACACGAAGCCCCCGTAATATGGCCCATCATTATCAAGATGCTATGGCAATTATTCGTGTTTTGGGTCCGCCTGATTTATTTATAACTTTCACTTGCAATCCAAACTGGCCTGAGATTGTAAATGAGATATCTACACGTGGAATTCGTCGCACTGAAGATAGACCAGACATTGTAGCACGTGTTTTCAAGATCAAATTGAAACAAATGCTTCGCGAATTGAAGGATAACAGGAAGTTTGGAAAAGTCATTGCAAGTGAGTTGTGTTGATTAATTATATAATCATACTATATTTTTTTACATATCTAATTAATTAACATGGGACATATTTCATGTTACAGATTTTTATGTCATTGAATTTCAAAAGCGCGGACTTCCACATGCGCATATTCTCATAACATTGGCTCTAGAAGATAAGCCTAAGTGTCCAGAGGATATCGATGTAATTATCTCTGCGGAAATCCCTGACAAGGATGTAGATCCTTTGGCATTTGAAACAGTTACCAAGAACATGCTCCATGGACCATGTGGGCCATGTTTAATCGATGGAAAGTGTTCAAAACATTTCCCGAAGAAATTTTGTACTGAAACCACCTTTGATGATAATGGCTTTGTGCAGTATAGACGTAGACAGCATAGAGAGCCCATCATTGTTAATGGAAGGGAAGTCGATAATCGTTGGGTGGTACCATACAACAGAGATTTATGTATTAAGTACAATGCGCACATAAATGTTGAGCGTGTTGCTGCGAGAAGTGTGGTAAAGTATCTATACAAGTATGTTACTAAAGGTCAAGATCGAGCAACAGTTGTCATTGAAAACAATTCGACCACACGACGTGGTCAAGAGGTACGACAAGGAAACATAGTGGATGAGATAAAACAATACTTAGATTGTCGATATGTATCGGCCATTGAAGCATGCTGGAGAATATTTGAGTTTGATTTGCAACATCAATATCCTTCAACAGAACTACTTCAGTTTCATCTACCTGGTGAACAATTTGTAGTTTTCAATGATAATGATGATCTGCACATAGTCCTCGAACGACCGAGATTGCAACAAACCATGTTAACTATGTGGTTTCAAGCTAACAAGGATTTTCCAGAAGCAAATCAATACACTTACCAAAATTTTCCTATGGGATTCACATGGAATCGCTCTACAAAAAGGTGGGCACAACGACAAGAAAGACCTTGCATTGGTAGGTTGCCTTTTGTTCATCCAAATTCTGGGGAACAATATTACTTACGGATGCTTTTAACTAAGGTTTGTGGAGCGGAATCTTTTGAAGATATACGAACTGTTGATGGTGTCATCCACCCTACCTTTAGATCTGCATGTCATGCCTTTGGGTTGCTTGATGACGATAATGAGTGGCATGAAACTCTGTCAGAAGCCTCTAACTGGGCATCAGGTTCACAGTTGAGAAACATGTTTTGCTCCATATTGATGTTTTCAGAAGTAAGTGATCCGAAACAGTTGTGGGAACAACATTGGGGTGAACTTACGGATGACCTAGAGAGAATGATGCAACGTCAAACTAGAAACCCTAACTTACGATTAACTCCCGAAGAGATGCAGAATCAAGGATTACAAGAGATTGAGCATATATTGAATAAACTTGGAAGGTCATTGACAGATTTCCCTGACATGCCACAACCTTCTTCAGAGTTAGCACGCAATGCCTTAAATCGGTTGATAAGAGATGAACTTGAATATGACACACATGATGAAGCTAACAGATTTGATACCTTAGTTAGAGGGTTAAACACGGATCAATATAGAGTATATGCTGCAATACTTGATGCTCATTCTCGAGATGCAGGTGGCCTATTTTTTGTCTACGATAGTGGTGGGACAGGAAAGACATACCTATGGAACACTCTGATTGCGAAATTCAGATCTGAAAGAAATATCGTGCTCTCTGTGGCTTCTTCGAGAATTGCTGCTTTATTATTGCCTGGTGGTAAAACCGCACATTCGACTTTCAAGATTCCTTTTGATCCTGATCAACATTCCGTTTGTAACTTCAAAAAAGACTCAACCCGTGCTGATTTGATCCGTGAAGCATCATTGATTATATGGGATGAGGCTCCAATGACCCATCGATTAGCATTTGAGGCAGTAGATCGACATTTTAAGGATATTTGTAGTGACAATAGAGTTTTCAGAGGTAAATTGGTTGTTCTTGGTGGAGACTTTAGACAGATACTTCCCGTGGTGCCAGATGAAGGACGAGAATCTATTGTTGCAGCTACCTTGCATCGAGCGTCCTTTTGGAGAGACTGCCAAGTTATGTGCCTAAGGATAAACATGCGTTTATGTCGAAGTGACGTTCCCTCCGATACTCTTGAACAAATTCGAGAATTTGCTGATTGGATAATAAAAGTTGGAGAAGGAGTTGTAGTAGGAGTGCCCATTACAGAGGAAGGTGAACCAAATTGGATTGAAATACCACGTGATTTTTTGATAGCCAATGATGAACATGGTTTGCAAAATCTCATTAACTTTGTCTACCCCAACTTGCCTTCAAATTACACGGATTGGGAGTACCTCAAGGATCGCGGAATTCTAGCACCAACAAACAATGATGTAGATGAGTTAAATTCGAAAATTTTATCAATGCTACCAGGAAACGTGCATAGGTACTATAGTTCGAATACTTTGGGTCATACAGGAGATGGTGGGATCCTTGATAACATGGAGCCTATGGAATTATTAAACTCATTAAATTTGTTGGGTCTTCCAAATCATTGCTTAGAGCTGAAAGTTGGTGCCCCAGTAATATTGATGCGAAATATGAACCAATCCATAGGGTTGTGCAATGGAACACGCCTTATAATCAAGAAATTGGGTTACAGAGTGATTGAGGAAAAAGTGATCACAGGTCCTAGAGCTACAGAATCTGTTCTAATTCCGCGAATTGATTTAACACCTTCCAACAAGAAGATAGATCTCCCTCTTAAAAGAAGGCAATTTCCATTAAAATTAGCCTTTGCCATGACAATAAATAAGAGCCAAGGACAGACGTTGAGCAAAGTTGGCATTTTTCTCCCTAGGCCCGTGTTTAGTCATGGCCAATTATATGTTGCAATGTCACGAGTTACATCTCCTGCCGGGCTAAAAATCTTAGTACAAAATAAGAAGGATGTTTCTCACAGTTTGACTAAAAATATTGTGTATAAGGAAGTATTAAACAGTGTCAATTAGCTATGTATGTAGTTTTTTATAACATTTATTTAGTAACTCTTAGCAATGTTTGTTTTAGTGTGATTTCAGAGCTATACTATTTTTATAATATATTAGATTTTCTTTGTCATGTTAATTCTTCTATTTTACTTTTTTTTTTTTTTTTTTTTTTTATTTTCTTTATTTAAGAATTATTTCATTATCTATACTATTTATGTAACCTTTATACATGTGCGAGGTTGGATCAATAATGAAATATTATGTAAATTATTTTTTTATGCCCACTTCAATGATGTTAAAATGCAGGAAATGTACACAAGATACACACCATGTCGTTGTATTACCCTTACGACATTGAATGTGAATATTATAGTGCGTTTATTATGGATGGTCAATGAACAATGTAGAGCTAGAAGTACAAATTACGTCCATCGTTAGTGGAGTATGGTATTCATTGACTCAGAGGTTTGAACTATATTTTTACGTAGTGCTTACTTTTTTTTTCAATATATTCATTTATTTGACACTTATGTATGTATGAAAATTTCAATTTCTAGGGGGACGAAGTTCAAATCACACTATTTAATGCTGATTGGTAAATATAAAGAGATCTTCAAACAAGGAAAGGTTTATTCAATTGCTCAGCTAGATCTTATGCCTCTAGATACATCTTACAAATATTCCAATAACCAAATGAGGTTGAAATTTGGCAACAAGACCATGATAACAGAAATTCTTGATGATTGTGATGATATCCCAAGGTACAATTTCAGGTTTATTGAATTTTGCCACATTCCACAGTACCTTCACCTGTGCAATAGTCCTCTCATCGGTATGTGTCTTTTAGTAATTAAAATAAATAATACTAATATTTATTGCATTTTTAAAATTATTTTTTTGAGTTTTGAAGGTCATATCCGATCTTTTTTCTTGATGATGAATGTACACAAATGTTATTGGATTGGTTATATATGTGTCTGAATCATATAGAGTCTCGGGTGGGAGACAACAATTCAAAAGAGATGTGTTACTCTGCAACACAAAGTAAGAGCATATTACAAAAGTTACAATATGTTTATGTAATCATAACAACTTATGCAATGTTAAGTTTTTTTTTTTCTTTTTCTTAAAAAAAAATATATTGACATATTTTGATTTACAGCATGGAAACAATGAGGCTAACTTTATGGGAAGGGTTTGCTCATGATCAAGGTCGTTTCTTATTCAATGAGCTTAATCAGGATCATGTGTTGGGTGCATCCATGGTATCAGTTGGCTCCTATTATGGTAAAATAAGTTTTTAAAAATTAGATAACCATGAAAAGACTATGGTGTCATTTTCATTATTATCATTGCTTTGAATACTTTTACTAACCTTCCAATAGGTAAATGTCTTTCGACTGTTGGACGTACCAGACTTTTTATTGATCCTGATATTGATGAAACTGACGATCTACATGGCTGGTAAGCCTAAATACATCATAATATACAATGTAAGTTTATATTGCATACTAATGTACTTATATAACTCATATAGGTATGCGGATGATGGATATGTCCAAAAACTTATCAGTTGGAGTCAGATATTAACTAATAGTATCTCTGAAATGGAAATGGTGTTTAATGCAAAAAGGATAAAGTTAAATCAGTTTTCAGCGGCTCATAATGTATGTATATCAACAATTATTGATTTCATTTTCTTATACATGAGGTATTTAATATTTGATGTGTGTTTTCAGGTAAAATACTTTCGAGTACTAGCAAAGGTGTTATCTATTGATTCTTCTATGCCTATTTGGTATGAATCATGTGCTCAACACTTAAGGAGAGCTGATATGTGCGTGGAGTGTGACCCCTCTTTTAGTAGGCCAAGGTATTTTCACTTTTTTTTATTTTATTTAAAAAAATATAATTATAATCTGCTTTACATATCACTATACCTAATTATATCATATCAATAATAACAGATATAGAATCAATATAAAAATTGGTGACGCTACAAATACAATGTCTGTTACACTCTTTGGCCAATATGCTGAGATGATTATCGGTTGTCCAATATCAAGTATTCAAGCGATGACAGATAATGTAAGTATATCCTTTAATCATATATATTAAGGAATTACTCACCGGCATAACGGATACATTTGTTATTTATGAACAGGAATTTGGAGACTACTTTCTAGAGGAGTATCTGAGTGAACGATTGATGAATACATTCACTTTCATACTACATGTTCCTGAGATAGGAAATGATGATATCATAGTTGCATCTGTTTTACAAGTAAGATGGGAGGAAGAATTCTATTATCTGACACGAGAGATGCGTGGACAATCTAATTGAAGACTTAGATTCATTTAGCATAATATTTCAAGACTTTAATTATATATATATATATTTTTATATGAATTCAACACTTGGTTTTTTTTTTTTTTTTTTTTTTTTTTTTAATTTGTAATCAATTTGTTTTTTTATTTTTTGGGTTTTTGTTGTTATTATTTTGGTTTTATTAAATACCATTTGTATCTATATACTTTTTTTTTTTTTATCCTATCCTTAATTATAACCCGTGCATTAGCACGGGCACATTCTAGTTTATGGTAAAAGAAAGGGAAATTTTGCAAATTGTAGTCATTTGTTAGTATTTTACAAATTGCAGTCATTTACAAAAAAAATTACAAATTGCAATCCAAAAGTTTTTATAAATTGTAAATTACAGCCCAATATAACTTTTTTTTATCGATTTACGTGTCGAAAAATATTCGAATAAGGTTTTAGGAGCCATTGATCCGAATTGAGCTTGGAATTAGTAAAAAAAAAAACCTAAGTGCCTCGTTTTTACAACGAAAAATAGTTAGCCCTAAATCGATATTTTTTGTTATGCAAAATGCGGCACTTGCATTATTGTTTTGCTAATTTTGAGCTCAATTCGATTCCTTAAAAACTAAAATGACCCCTACAACCTTAACTGAATATTTTTCGACACAAACACCGATGAAAAAGTTAAAACGTGTTGTAACATACAATTTATAAGAACTTTTGGGCTGCAAGTTACAATTTTTTTATTAAGTGGCTGCAATTTGAAAAATACAAACTTTAAATGAGAGCAATTTGCAAATTCATCTTTTTTTTTCCTAAAAAAAAACAGTTTTTCTTACCAATTTTTCAATTAAAAATAAATTCCCTTATTTTTCCCACTTTCCTTTGTTTAGTTTGTGAAGGGGAAGAATACAATTTTTCTTTTTCTTTATAAAACAAGGAAAGTCACATTTTCCTCCCTCCTCCTTACCTTCTTTTTAATTTCCTCTCATCTGCCCTTACATTCTCACTCTTATGTTTTACTTTTCTTGTATGCAACCAAATAAAGGATTACTAATTTGCAATTGTGTTTTTATATGAAAATATGTTTACCATGAAAACTAATTTTCATTAAAAATGTTTTACATCAAACCAGACGGGGCTTAGGGCCTGTTCTTTTCAGCTTATTTTCAGTTCAGTTCAGTTTCTAATTTTCTTCTCTCATAAAATATTCAGTTCAGTTCAGCTCAATTCAATTCAATAAATCAGAACAAGCTCTTAATCAGTAACATAGATACCTCCATTTTTTTTTTAACTACAAGGTATTATTTGTAAGATTTAAAAACTTCCTTTGTTGCAACTTAAAAAACGAACGGTCAAACTATTACACTTTTTTTTAGAGTAAAGAGTAAAAGGAGAGCTTTTAATAGTAGCTACATACAGATAGACTTTTTTTTTTTGGAAACAAATCAATTCATTAATAAAAAGCCATCCGGCATCTACAAATGAAATCTACATTAACAAATACATAAAATTGAATCAAATTAGGGTTTCCTTCATCAAAGCTACGATCGTTGAAAAAATCTTGCATTGTGGTACATCTCTCGCACACATTGCTGGAATATACAGCCTTTTTGGAGAGACGGTCTAACGATTTGTTGTAGCCGTAAGGATGGTTTTCATCTATTTCGCTTGACCAAAGAACTGACAATAGGTAAAAAGATGATTACCTTTTTTTATAAACCCTACCACACAAACTAACCCTAAACATAAACAAACAACTAAACCAACAAAAAATAAAGACTCCACCATAGGGAGACGGATGTATCTACACTTACTCGTGTAGATTTATTGAAACCTAAATTGCAAAACTAAAGAAAATTTAGGAAAAATGGTCGAAAATAGTCTAAGTTCTTAGACTATTATTTCCGGCCTAAACGCCAAGATTTTGGAGAAACCCTATAAGAGAGGAGAGGCAAGAGATATGATGGTTTTTTTTTGGGATATTATTGATCTTACTGATACACTTTAATTTATACAACAGAATCTATACAATTTTGTTTTTGTAAGTGCAACGGTGACTTTTCAGATTTTTTAAGTAAGTGACATGAAGGAAATAATAAATATTAAAAAAAATAAAAAAGAAAAGAAAACAATGGTCATGTTGTCAATTGGATTTTGGGATAATATTTTTGTCTATGTAACTTCCATGAATACTATAAAAGGGGGTGAATTGTAGTTTGGCTATTTAGCTAACTTTTTTGCAAAATTAAAAACGAAAGTTTAAAGAACTCAAAAATGTGAAGAAAATTTTTTACATGGAAAATTTCTTAACTATAAACAAGAAGAAAAATCATGTCCCCAAGGGATTTTATTAGATAAAGACACTTTATTAGAATAGAGCAACAACCTATTACAATGCTAAGACTTTCTCTAAAGTTTCGAGCACAAGTCCTTCAACTTGCAACTCTGGTCTCTTTCCTCTTCTTCTCATTCAACTTCACTCAAAGCTAATACAACTGCTCGAGAAGTGTTCAGCTCAATTCAATTCAATAAATCAGAAGCGTTTTTATTTCCTTACAAGCGTTTTTATAAAGTTTACTCAAAACCCCTTGATTCCCAAATTACAACTCAAGAAAGATAACACTATGTAAGGAAATAAAAACGCTTTAACTTATAGTGGAATGTAACTTTTGATCATTACACTAAGAAATACAAGTATATAATTGTGAGTGTATATTCTCACTTATGACATTAATGATTGTTCTATCTATTGTGTGCAATGTGCATATAGGGCTAATATCAGAGGCGGATCTATTAAGGTGCACAGTGAGTCACGTGACTCACCAGCAAAAAAAAAAAAAACAACAACTAAGAGACCGCCTATTACAGATAGGAGGTCTCTTTGTTGCTTCTATTTGAGATTAGCCCACTGTCAGTTTTTTAAATATCAAAGAGACTACCTATTAAAATATCAGATAGGTGGTCTCTTTGTTGCTGCTATTGCCACCACGTTGATAACAGGTCTAGCTTTCATATTTCATTAAAGAGACCTGTTATATTTAATAACCGGTCTCTTAAGTTATCTAACTTTTTTTTTTAATAATTCTTGTTTTAAAGTAAAAAATCATAAAGTTAGTTTAATGTAATAGTTTTATAATATGTATTTTTATATCCTATTTTTGGATTGAAATCATTTTGGTGAAATATAATTTTTTTTATATAATTTTTGGATTGAAACAAGTGATCAATTATTGATGGTGACTCATAAGTTCGAAAATCTTGGATCCGCCACTGGCTAATATCTCTATATCTAAAGCTTCATTACTCTAAGGGGTCGTTTGGTTGGGGGTATTCAACAAAGGGAATGGGAATCAACTACCATAAATCCCTTTGTTGATGTTTGATAGACAAAATCAATCATTCCCTTTACCCCTCCCATTACCCCATTTTCCTCTATCTTCATTCCCCACCCCCCCCCAAGGGAATCACTCAAACCCCCAAATTCCTCTTCACCCAACTACCTTGACCAAATTTCTAACTACCTTGACCACTCTTGAAAACACCAACCGACTACCGACACCACCGCCTAGCCACCATCTAACCACCCTGACACCACTAGAACCACCGCCTAGACACCATCCAGCCACCCTGACACCATCAGAACCACCACCTAGACACCATCCAGCCACCCTAACACCATCAGAACCACCACCTAGACACCATCCAGCTACCCTAACACCATCAGAACCACCATAACATCGTCGACACCCCTGCTGCTACCAACAAACCACCATCGAAACCACCTAAAACCACCGAAACCACCCAAATCCACCCGGAAAAAAAATTCATCTTCCCCAATTACCCAACTTCATTGGAATTAACCCTCACCCACCACGTTCACCACTCATTACCCACGAAATCATCACACCCACCATGAAAACCACTACAAAAACTACTCCAAAAACCACCCAAAAACCCTAACCATTTCAACAAAAAAAAACCCATAAACAACCCCCAAACACCCAAAAAACAACATATGACACTCTATTAACAAACAACCTACTAGATCTATAAAAAAAATCACTTAAAAAAGAGAGAGAAGAGGGACAACATCAACAATTAGAAAGAAAAGGGGCGGCGGTGCGGTGGACGAGGGAGGGCGGCGGTGTTGCAGGAAATTAGAGGGGAGTAGGTTGTCGGCAGGGAGGGGTGGGGACCGACGAAGGGGGTGGGGGAGCTCGGCGCCGCTGGGAGGAGGGTGGTTGGAGTTTCGTTGTTGGCAGTGATTTGGTACTTCCATGTGAAGTTCAATCTTCATTCTCTTTCCCCTTTGTGAAGTGTGAACAAACAACCTATAATAAATAAGGGAGTTGCTTTCCATTCTCCCTCTTTCCCTTTCTCTTAGTCATTCCCTTTCCCCTTAGTGAACCAAACGGCCCCTAATAGTCTCGTTGAACCTTTTCACTTTCACACTAGTTCTTTGACCCATCTTTTTATAATTAATTAAAGAAAAATACAGTCGTGTTGGATTTTGTTAGATTCGTTTCGATAAATAATTTCTAAATATTGAATTTCAATTATGACTAAATAGTAGATATGTATATATTGAGGATATATTTTGAAAAAAGATATTTGGGAATATTAGAGATAGCTAAGCACAGTCTAATGGGAAAGATTATACTTCCAACTTTGAGGTTAGTGATTAATACCCTATTAAAGAAGTTTTGAGGGTAGAAATCCCTTGTATTTCCTCAAAGTTGAATTTTGGTCATAATCTTTTCTTACTTTATAAATAAACATATTTTTCGTGAAAAGTGGAAACAAATATTTCCTCAATCTTTTATCTATAGATTTTTTTTTTTTTTTTGAGGGAAATCTTTTATCTATAGATAATTAAAGAGGATCAAAATTTAATATTGACAAATATACTCGTATCAATTAAATTAGGGATTTATTTCAAAATAAAGGGAGTAATCCCTATCTGAGGTTTGCCACCGTAAAACTTGTTGTAATTTCACCAAACACTCTCTTTCCCTCTTCAATAGTTCACTTTTCTCACTCTCCTACCTCTGAGTTTACACAAACACTTTTTCAGTGAACTGCCCCAAAAATATCGTCCGATCAAACCCAGATTATAATCCTTCACTTCCCCTTCCCACTTAACCTTCCTTTCCCCAGGTCATTCTCTCTCCTCCTTTATACCCATTTTGACTTTTAATTTTTTTTTTAAATTTTTAATTTTTTATAATTTCTATTGATGTTTTTGAATTGAAATTTTGTCAGAATTGAAAAAGAAGAAGAAGATACTGCCATGGACACCAATGCTACGGCTCTGCCCAAGGATACCACCAATAATTCCCAGAACGGCCTGCAGGTATGGTAAGAATTTTCAATTCTTATTTTCGTATTTTATTCAATTCTTATTTTCGTGTTTGTTTTTTTTTTTAGTTCCATTAGTTTATTTGAGTAACCCCGTTTGCCCATTACATTGCACAATTTTGTGGTATTATTTGTGAGATATAAAATATTTTAAAGTTGCGAGTAATTTGGACTAGAGGTAGTAATATCTTACATGGTTATACCAAGCGGGTAGCCACATATAAGAATTTGAATTTGTGTACGAGCAAAGCTCCGATCTATCTGCTAAACAAATGACGTTTATCAACTAGCAATTTTGATTAGCAAATTTGGATTTTCTCATATTGTTAATTTAGTTTATAAAAGTGGTGTGTGCCAAGTTGAGATCTAATTTGAATCAAAAAACAAATTCAATTAACTTAAAATAATATTTCTGGTAACAAATTAGTTAAAAAAAGTTGTTGCAGTGACACATTAGTAAAGTTACAGGTTCCGGCAACTTAAGCCAAAAACAATGGCCTGCCATATTTTTTTGGCTTGTTTTTTTCATTTGTCATTCCTTTATTGATCTGATTGAATAACAAAATATTTTCAATTGTTTCTAAGTCCTAATATGAATTAAAAATACCAAGTGTGATTTTTTCCATAAATTACTTAATACTTCCTCTGTTCTATTAATATTGCAATAATGGACTTTTTGCACTATTCATCACTCTTGTTTGACCATATAATATGAGTTATACGTTAAACAAAATATAGTCAAATAGGATCTTGTTGGATTCGTCTCATATAATACTTTCACAATATCAACTTTTTATAATTTTTACTCTTGCATAATTGTAGATATTTAGCATATAAAATGTGTTTTGGGATGCGTAATTTTCTCCTTGTTGCAATATTAACAGAACAGAGGAAGTAACTATTATTATTGTTATTTTATTTTTTCTTAAATTTAAAGCTAGTGCTATGTATTAAAATTGATGTCATTAAGGTCCCGTTCTCTTCACCTTAATTTTGTTGAATTGAAATTATTTTTACTGAATTGAAATTATTTTTGCTGAACTTAAATTATTTTTACTGAACTGAAATTAATTTCACTGAACTGAAATTATTTTTGCTGAACTGAAATTATTTTTACTGATTTTTTATTATAACTCTTCTTTAAGAAAACTGAATTTTACTGAACTGAACTTATTTTCTGATTTGACCAAACTTTGACCTTAAGTGTACGATAATTAAGATCTTGTTAGATTCGTAATAATTTGTATCTTATTAATATATAGTAATATATAATTTTTATATTACGAAACTAAAGATATTTTGTGATAAAAAGTTGCACATAAAGCATTTGAAACTTATTATATTTTTTTTCCTGGAATAAGTAAACTGTAGAATTGTATAAACTTACGGCTTAACTTTCATTAATTGGGGTAAAACATATATATACAACTCTTATCCCTAGAGTTACCTTAATTAGGTTACTAGAAATAAGGAAACAATATAAAAGATAGAAATAAATATATCTTCCCAAAATATATCCTCAATATAAACATAAATTGAACTTAACAAGACCTTAGCGTTATTAGTTGATGTGAGCTTATGACAATTGTGACCCTATACTTTTCACCTTATTTTGGTTGAACTTAAATTACCTTTACTGAATTGAATTATTTTGCTGAATTGAAATGTTTAAGACTTTTCTAATGGTCTATTATACTTGCTCATTAAAGTTACCAATTAAAATTTGTTATTATGCCAAGGGAACTTAGTTTTATTGAACTGAAATTATTTTTGCTCCCTCCATTTTGTAATAATCACAACAATAGGACGTGCACAAAGTTTTAAGAAATTTATAAGTTAGAATCATAATGTGAATTTTATAATATAAAGTATAGTTAGTGCTTTGGTGGAGATATATTTGATTGCTAGTTATAGAGTAAAAAAAAAAGTAGTATAAGTAGGTTAAGAAGAGAAAAATATTAAAATATTTATGCAAGTGGGGAAAGTGGAAAAGATAAATAATAAAATAGCGTTGGGTCTTGTAGGCGTCGTTCGAAGTGCGCCTACGTCAAAACATGTGGTGAATATGCTTGACACTCATAAAAAGTGAGAATTGACAAAATACGAATAGGGCAAAGAAAGTAGGGAGCTGCCAATAACTTTTTAAGGAACTTGTAAACCGTTTACGGATCATAAAAGACAACCACAAATAAAGGGACAACGATAGGCAACAACGATTAACCCGTGAAGGTTACACCCCATCCATAATCCATGAGATTACTAACTCCATATGATTTAGAACCAAGAAACGAGGATCGGGGATGATGGTACGAAGTGAGACATGGAGTCACATTCGCCCGTATTGACCTCTACTCGATTCTTATAATGAAAAAGTGAATCCTGCGATTTCAAAGGCATGCAAACAAAGATTCAATTTGCTCCAAACTATTACTATGCTAAATTGGTTGAATATTAATGCACACATAATTCTATAATATGATGATCACTTGATTAAACAACAAGATTAAAAAGGAACATAAACCGGTCGTTCAAATTATCTTATTAGGCATGATTTTCAATTACATATTCCTTTTAACATGCAATATAATGATCATAATAACAATAGAATTAACATTAATATTAGAAGCAATTTAACAATAAATCCAACAATATAAAATCGTTAGAAAAATAATAGAAATAAAAGGAACATAATTCATACTTCGATTTTGCTTGCTTGCAACTATAGTTGCTGCGGTTTTTCGAGCTTTTCTCACTCAATTCTTCGTCAAATTTACTTACATCTCTTGCTAGCTCCCTCATTTTCGAATCTTTACAAGGATCTATGTAAGTTTCCTTGTTTTTTCTCTTGAATTTTGATTCAAATGAGTAATTTCATGTGAAACCCTTGAAAAATAAAATTGGGTTTTTATTTTTTATTTTTTATTTTTTTATTTTTATTTTGAGCTTTTATGTCGAAATTCTTGCCATAAATTAGCTTGTATATGAATGCATGTCGGTTTGTGAGCAATTTGAGACTAAATTTGCATGATTTGGTGAAGAAATGAACAAATCACCATTTTCGGTACTACTTTGTTCGTGAAATGGTGTTCTTGTTATTCTTGTTGTTTCTTTGCACTTGAAATGATGATATAATGGTTGTAGATCTTGTAAAACATGCTATAATGTGACGATCTATTGTTTTTGTGCAATTTCGAAACATGCTTTGTTTTGTGTATGTATTATATTGTCGTGGAGAATATAGTATCATACGATTAGGAGAACTATAATATTAGTTTGTTATTGAGAAACTAAGTACTAGAAATGATTCTGTTATTTTGCTAATTTTTAGTCTTGAGGTAAAAATTTAGTGTATAATAGAAAGTGCAATTTGAGGCAGTTGTTAAGCTATTTTTTTGAATAAATAACTTAGGAAATTATGCTAAGTATTTGGATTTTTATTTTTTTTGTTTGAACGTAATAGCATGCCTAGACAACGAGATCGAGACATTTCTACTCGTGGCCGGCGTCAGGCTTTCCGAGAGGACACTCCCACGGTTTTTGAGGGTATAGATGATGCCTTGGAGACTGAGCCTCGCCCCTCTACGAGTAGGGGTAGATGGACTCCACCTCCGTGGACACCAGATGAGTTGGTTTTCTGTCGTGAGAACCATATTTCTCACCGTCCACTTACCAGCATAGTCGATGGCGTGCTTCGCCATCATGGATCAGGAGCTGGAGATTTGATTCCCCGGCTATACAGGATCATCAAAGGGGATCCTATTACCAACGCCTCGTGGGAGTCTGCTGGTTTGGGAGATTTCTATTCAGCGGTTGTGGGATTTCGCAGCCCTCGAGGTTGTGGTTCGACAATTGTTCGAGCGCTGTTGGAGTATTTTTGGGATACTACCAACACTTTTCACTTTGCCTGGGGAAAGATGACGATGACTCCTCTAGACTTCAGTATGATCAGCGGCTTGCGCTTTACCGAGCGGCCTGTACTACAGATTCCTGACCTGACTTGGGGGGCGAGCGAGGCAGCGGAGTTATTAGGTCCTGTCGTTCAGCATATCAGGACTCGACCAGTGTCTCGGGGTGGTCATAGGAGTGGACGATCAGAGTTGGCTTCTGTTCTTGCCCATGGTTTTGACATAGCTGAGACGACACCTGAGCAACGAGTACGGATCTTTATCTTGATCCTTATTTCCGGGACTCTTTCTCATGATAGGAGTTCTCGTGCGCTTATTTGCTACCTGCCGTCTCTGGTCAGGATTGGTGAAATAGGATCCTACAGTTGGGCTAGTATTGGATATGCTGATCTACTCTCGTCGATGCGTCATGGCTGCAGGCAGCTGAACGATCAGTCCCCTGTTGTTGTCTATGGTTTGTGGAGAGTCGTAGAGGTGACGATCTTTTCCTCTTCTTGTTTTACTTTTATCGGTTAAGCTCATATGCTTAGAGGTCATTCTTGTTGCAGTTGTGGTTTTATGAGTACTTTCCGGGATTGGCCCCTCGACGGCGTCGCGGAGCGGTCCATGATTTCCCTGTCGGAGCTAGCTGGCGTGACCGAGGTGAGTCACGAGTGGAGTCTGTATCGCGTTTGCGCGGGCTGCTGCGTCGGGGCACCTGTACTGTTGGTGTAAGGATCGATTTCACAGTGTATTATTTTTTTACTTAGATGTTATTTTTCGGCATTCATTGAAATCTCTTATGGTTTTCAGGTTGCTGTCGAGATCCAGTATCGGCCTTGGGATGGCATGACAAACCTTCCCGAGGCTTTGGAGCTTTCGGCGTGTCGTACTGTTTTCTTTGGTACAACACGCTTTGTTTGGTACCTTGGAGAGCGTGTTGTTCGTCAGCACAACGCTAATCACTTTGTAGTGTCATTGCCTCCACCGGAGTCGATGTTAGACTCATGCTTGCTGGGTGAGCTGCTGGATCGGGGGTAGCGCTATACGTTTCCTTGGCAGGAGCTCGTGCGTATGGAGAGCGATTATTCCTTGGAGTTGCTTCCTTCGTTGGCCCCTCCCCCCCGTCTTCCCGAGGTTTGCTTTTTTTTTTTTTTTAGGATTTTATTTTACTAGTTCGTGCTTAAACTGTCGAATAACCTGATTATTCGATCATGTTTTAGACTACTGCTCGTCGTAGGGGGAAGGTCGAGCTCCCTCCTCAGTCTGTTCGTTACCCGGGACCGATTGGTATGATTGAGGAGCATATTGCTGATGCACCAGAGGGTTTCAGACAGGCGCAGGAGTCCATGCCCGATGAGTTCGAGCCGGTAAGCTTTTTGACATGTCTTTCAATCTTCTTAATACTGCTTGTTACTGTTTTTTTTTGTTTCAGCTCACGCACTCGGATATGATGGGTTTTATGAAGTTGATTGATGATTTGAAGCACTTTATCATCAAGCTACGATGTGGTGCGAGTTGTCAGAGTGGCTCCGACGATGCTAATGAGGTATATTCATCTGTTTTCTCATGTTTACCTTTTCTTGTATCAGTGATATCTTTTCATTTTGTGTCTTTCAGGAGCGACAGAGGTCTCGCTCGCGCTCGAGGCATAGAGGCTCGGACGAGGGGGAGCCTAGTCACCGCAAACGATCCCCGGAGGTTCGTCGACATTCTCGGACACAGCGGCAGCAGCCTTCTCAGACATTTCAGGGGTTTCAAACTCGGTGGCCACAGTCTCAGTTTTCTCAGCCATTTTAGGAGACTCAGTGGCAGCAGACTCGGCCCTCTCAGCCGTTTCAGGAGACTCAGTGGCAACAGTCTCGGCATTCTCAGCCTTCGCAGCTTGAGTATAGGCCGGTCATTACTCCTACTGACTAGGGTTTATTTTCAGTTCCATTGTTTGGGATGATGCCTCCTCGGACGATTCCTGCATCTTGGAGTCAGCCTACGTAGTTTACTAGGTGGACAGTACCCGCTTCTTCTGTTGGAGTTGTTGGTACTAGTAGAAGGGACACTACTCCTCGCACTCGGATGATGGAGAGTCTTTTTGGTCTGTCATTCCCTTACTCGCGACCTCAAGATGACAGTGATCCCAGCTCTGGATCTGAGTAGTATTGACCGAGGGTTTTTATTATGTACCCCGTTGATCACATTTCACATCATTTATAAACCATGACTCACTTTGTATATTTTATTCACACTTTACGTATTTGACATTATTTACTCAATTAGTGTGCAAGTTAGTGTGTGCTTGAGACTGACTGTGTGTGATTGTGTATTTAGTAATGATGCGAACAAAAAATCGTTATTTTTCGTAAGTGAGGGTACCGACCTTCCCCAGAAGAAAAAGAAAATAAAAAGAAAAAATGGGACTAGTTTTACAGCTTAAAAAAATGTAAATATAATAAAAATGGGACAAGTTTTACAACTTTCCCAAAATAAAAAGAAAATAAAAATAAAAAATGAGACAAATTTTACGGCTTCTCCAAAAGAAAATAAAAATAAAAATTAAAAATGGGACAAGTTTTACAACTTTCCCAAAAGAAAATAAAATAAAAATAAAAATTAAAAATGAAACAAGTTTTACAACTTTTCCAAAAGAAAATAAAATAAAAATTAAAATTAAAAATGGGACAAGTTTTACAACTTCCCCAAAAGAAAAAAATAAAATAAAATAAATAAAAATGGAACAAGTTTTACAACTTCTCCAAAAGAAAACACAAAAAATAAAAATGAAGGGAGAATTTTATTAGGAATAAAGCTCTCGAAAACAAGGTTGAAGGATAAACGGTGAAGAAAAAACAACAAAAATCCAGATTAAAATAGGTTTAGGATAAAAATTAGAAGCGCGTGACCACCCGTTGTAACACCCTAGAAATTTCTTTCCTTAAAAATACCTGTTTTTCTCTTTAAAATTCGAAATAGGAAAATCTAAGATGTTACCGCCACCGTGAAAACGGTTAAAGCAACTATCAAAGACACACAAAGAAAGACTAAATTCAAAACCATCGAAAACAAGTCAACTTAAAATGTCAACCAAACAAAAGTAAAGTCAAACCAAAGTCAAACGAAGTCAAATAAAATCAACTAACAACTTGGAACCATTGTAGGCCCTAATAAAAAACCAAACCAACTTCCACTAGTAGAAAATAAGTAATGGGAAGCTCCAAATGACAAGCGATTTTATAAATCCGCTTGCCATTTAGCCAATTTTTTTTTTAAAAAACCTCTAATACTGATTGGCAAGCGGTTTTGGCGCGAACCGCTTGCCAAAATGTAAATGGCAAGCGGTTTGGACATTGAACCGCTTGCCATTTGCTTAAAAACCCTAAGAGGCGTGTTCCTCTATTTCTCCTCTCTCATTCTCACGCCTCTTCTTCTCTCTCCTGCCTCCCCTCATTTCTCACGCCCCCTTCTCTCTCCTCCCCTCAGACTCTTTCTTCTCTCTCTTATCCTCTCCTATCCTCTCATTTCTCACGCCTCCTTCTCTCCCCTCTCTCCCTTCCATTTTCGATCACTTCCTCTCCTCTCTTCATCTCCTCCTCTTTCTCCACTACAACCACCGGTCAACGCCCACCAAGCATCCAACATCAAATTCAACAGTACACGAGCATAATCAGCCCGCAACACCAACAACAACATCGTGAGTTTCAATTTTAATTTTGATTTCAATTTTGTGGGTTTGATCGACTTTCGTGGGTTTGATTTCGAATGTTTGGGTAAAATTTTTTAATTTTAATTTTGATTTCGATTTTCGTGGGTTTGCTTTTGGATTTTTGGGTGACAAATTATAATTTTCATTTTGATTTCAATTTTGTGGGTTTGATTTCGGATTTTTGGGTGAAAAATTTTAATTTTAATTTTGATTTTGTGGGTTTGATTTAGGATTTTTGGGTGAAAATTTTGGGATTTTAATTTTAATTTGGGATTTTAATTTTGTTTTGTGGGTTTAATTTCGGATTTGTGGGTGATTGTGTGTGTATTGTGCGTGTTTCGAATAGATTTAAAATTTCAGATGTTTTTTTAAAACATAATTTCATATCTCATTTTAATTCTATGTGCAGGTGGTTTAATCGATGGTGCGCGTCGATGGTGGCTGCTGGTGGAACGAGAGCAGCAACAAGTTACGGGATGGCTGTTTTTTTTTAGAATAGTGTTAACTTTTTTTTATTATAATTATTTTTTTGCTACTGTACTTTTTTTTTTTATTGAAATGTAATATTACAACAATTAATTAATAAAAATATCACCATTTTTACATATGTTTGGTTTGTGTATCAATTAATATGAAAAAATAAAATAAAAATTAAAAAAAAATATTTTTATACCCATAATGGGCAGCGGTTTGGCACCAAAACTGCTGCCCTTTCTCTAGTAATGGCAAGTTGAACCGCTTGCCATTTAAATGGCTAATGGCAAGCCCCCTAAACCTATGCGGTTCAAAACCGCTTGCCATTAAGGGGTTTGAACCGCTTGCCATTACGTATTTTCTACTAGTGTTCAAAACTTTGCGTTAGTCCCATGAGTAATAATATCATATAATATTCAAAGCTTTAAACAAATCATAAACTAATAGAAACTAGCATGATTCACTCTTCACTCATGCCCCGTCATGAATATGCTCCAATCACCTGAAAAGCTTCTCTCTACTTGTTTCCACTACTCTCCATAAAAAATGGGTCATCATAGAGCCAAGGTAAAGACAAGGCTAAAAATACACAAACACACACAATCAGCAAAGCTGAGTACATAAGCGTATTTAAACACACTAACATGCTTTCACCTATCAACACACACTTAGCTCAATGCACCTGTTTACAAGCACACAACAATCAACGAAAACTTTCTCAACTAGACAACTAAATAATTTATTTAGTATTGATTACGCATTGAATGGGTTTCCAAATCAACCTCCCCCAAATAAATTGAGGTTACTAACACGGGAGCTAACCGTGCCACCATCAATAATCACACATAGGTGGCCGAATTCCTGCACATAATAATAATAATAATAATAATAATAATAATAATAATAATAATAATAAAAGGAATGTACAGCGTCCTGTACTCCAGTAGCAGTCATGATCAAATATAAAGTCACATAACTCCCCCATATGTTCATACTCAAGGTGTATACGTTCCAAGAGTTTTGGTGCGTAATCTATTTCACTTTACGTTATTTACAGATTATTAAAGTGGGTGATGAATCTCAAACCATAATCATTCAATCAACAATAATTATTCAAACAATCAAATATACCAATTTAATTCTTGAATAATTAGTGACCACATAATATTTAATGTTGAACCCTTTTAAATCTACCTCGGTGTCATAGACACCTTAAACGCATAATGCGCCACAAATCCTATCCCTCGGTGTTGAAAACACCTTAAGTTCACTAAGGCACTAACATACAATTTATTCATCGTGTACATAGATACTTATATAGCTCTTTCCTCATGGGAATGGCAGGGTTGCAAAAGGTGCCTTAAATCATTGGTGTACCTTATGTTTGGTTTGACAATTTTTTTTTTTTTGAATAAGAAAGTCATGATCGAGATATAAAGGAATAATGCTCATATTATTGATGGAAATGGTGAATAAGCTAACAAAATTATCAAATTACAGAAAAGAAAATCTATGCTAGACTTAAATTGGGGAAAGAGAAAACTAATAAAAAAAAAAGAAATCATGAAATTTTCGCGCGAAGGGCTTGCGTACACCGTTTCTTCATTGCTTCTTGTCACTCCTTACCACCTGGAGGGACGGGTAGTTTGTTAGCATCTACTAAGTCTTGAATGACATCCTTCAAATTCCAGCATTGTTCGGTAGACTGGCCCCTTCCTTGATGGTACTTGCAATGGGCATTGGGATTTCATTTGCCGCTCCTTTCTTCAGGTTTTGGCTCTGAAAATGGTCCAATAGGTGTGATCAAGCCTTGACCGTAAAGGCGGTCAAAGGCCACATCATAAGTCATTCCTAAAGGAGTGTAAGTTCTCCTTTTCTTAGGTAATGGAGCATCAAGGGCTAACACTTCATTGAGATTGACCTGACATACATTGTTGGTAGTACTTTCGGGCTTAGAAGACAAAGAAGAAGGAAGGTCGTTCTTCTTGTTTTTCCAAGTGTTATTATTGTTACTTCCAGCAGTCTTTATTAGCTCATCCTCGATATTGATGCCAATGTCATATACAGCTTCGAAAGTGTTCAAAGGCATAAACCTAAGGTGTTGCTTGTACTTGTAAGTTAGGTTCTGGATAAAGAGGCGAACCATCTCTTTTTCTTTGGGAGGATCTACTAAGAGTGTAGTTGTTTCCCTTCACCTGTTCAAATAAGCGGTGAAGTCTTCATTCTCTTTCTGTTTGAGAATGGAGAGTTCACGTTCAGAAGTTCTGGTTAGAATGTTACACTTGTAACGATTCATGAAACTGTCGATGATGTCTTGCCAAGTTGCATTATGTTTGGCATCTAGAGAATAAAACCATTGTTGGCAAGCATGATCTAAGGAGAGAGGGAACACTATAGGGAAGAGTGTTACGTCCAATCCCATGAGAGCCATGGTTGTAGAGAACGCATTCAAATAGAACATTGGGTTATCAATTGGCTTGAACTTGGGGATGTCTGCAGTGGAGAACTTCTCAGGCTGTTTGTCCTTCATTTCCAAAGGAGTGGGAGGTTACTCCACATAGGTGAAGTCTTCAGAAATTTTGCTAATTTGTTCTTTGATCTTGTCCATTGCAGCCATAGTGACATTGTTTTGCTCTACGGTGGTGACCTTGGTAGTGAGAGTTTGCATCATGACAAACAGTGCCTCAATGGATTTATTGATATTCTCAATATCTTCGTTGGTGGGCATGGAAGAAAGTAGTTTGAAGGTGATAAGTGATGTGGAGATGGCGAAGTTTTTTTTGAACGCTCTTAGACCTAAGAGGTTGCTGCGGTAATGACTCGAACTGTACCAATCTACCCCTACTCCTTGACCAAATACTGTGAAATGAAATAAATTCACTTAATTTTTTGACTCATTGCTCAAGATAGGAAAGGAATGGAAAAAAAAAATTCATTTGAAACGGGTGAGAAAAACTCCACTCATCTTTTATTATGACTGAAACGGGGTGCATGAACCTAGTATACGATCATAAACAACATGGTGTACGACTTAAGTTTAAAAATAAAGAAAGTATGTGGACTATACTTGATTCGTGAGTGATTAAGTAATGTTATAAGACTCGTGGTATGATTGTATGGCTAGAC